TTTTTTTTTTCCTGCTGGAAAACGGGTCCAGCGTCCCCTATACATAGTTTTTCCAGAAGATTATGAGAAGTATTTGAATGTGTTAGAAGTTAGAAAGTGAGGATTGGCTGTGGCTTCTCTCTCCAGACTCTCAGCCTTTTACATCTATTTCTCCTGTCATACTGCATTCGCTCTAATACCCTCCCTACCCATTTCACTGTACCTTCTGTAATCAGCCTCTTCAGCCTTATATGGTGTGTGTGTGTGTGTGTGTGTGTGTGTGCGTGTGTGTGTGTGTATGTGTGCGTGTGCGTGTGTGTGTGTGTGTGTGTGTGTGTGTGTAAGTAGTTGGGTTGAGGTCAAGGGGACATAATAGGGTGCGTTGGGGAGAAAGCGGAAGAAGAAGGGAAGGGGTAGGGCTTTGATGGCAGGGGGGAGGGCTGGAGAGGGGGGGTGCACGGGGGGGTGGCAGGAACGAAAATCTTCTGACCAAGCTTTAGTCGTAGCGGCGTCGCTGATGTGGCAACAACCTTTTTCTGAAAAACAATGGCACTAGAGGACTAACATACATATTTTGATTTGTCAGGCACTGCACAGTGCATACTGGAAAGTCCAAATTAGCAAATTAATGAGAACATTGTGAAGTCATGATTTTTAATATTTTACCCTCTCCTAGTGTTGAGCAGGTGGGTATTATGTTTCTGTTTGAGTCTGTTTCGCTTGCCCTTTCTGAGGGGCTATCATTCCCGTTGTCCCCGATGCAAGGGGCTGGAATCCCCTCCCCCCTGCGTTCAACTCACTTTGATCTGTTCGTGGGGACCAACACGTGCTGGGAACGGGGCCCAGCGTTCCTATGAGAAATTTACAGAAATTTACAGATCCGTCAAGATACCGGGGCCATTACCTGGCTTCGGCTAGGGTCTACTAGATGGATACTTTTACTTTCATTTGATCATTTTAATGATTTTCTAGATACGTGATCAAAATTCACCGAAGCAAGAGGCAGGGACATCTCACATGATCTCAGGCAAGGCCTGTTTGGGAATGTTTCTTTTCTCCTTTTACTAAGGTTTTACACTGCACAGTGCCACTAATAACTTTGTTTGGGTCCTCCTCCTCCTCCTCCTCCTCCTCCTCCTCCTCCTTCTCCTCCTCCTCCTTCTTCTTCTTCTTCTTCCTCCTCCTTCTCCTCCTCCCCCTCTTCTTCTTCTTCTTCTTCTTCTTCTTCTTCTTCTTCTTCTTCTTCTTCCTCCTCCTCCTCCTCCTCCTCCTCCTCCTCCTCCTCCTCCTCCTCTTCTTCTTCTTCTTCTTCTTCTTCTTCTTCTTCTTCTTCTTTCTGAGGCAATGCCATCCTCCTTCTGAAACCTCAGACTCCAGTAACGGTTGTGAGTATCTTGGCCGCGTTGTCCAGGGGGCATGCTCAAACTAGGACTCTGGTGGAATTGAAGCTTCAGAGTCTGGAGGCCATCAAGGCTGACTCTCAAATTGGCTTTATGATGGAAAAAAAGGTTTCAGGGCGCAGCATGCTGGATGTCTCTGGCCGCTGTTACAGGCAGCGCCATGTGTCTCACAGCAAGATGATTTCTCAGCACTACTGTTGTATAATAAATAAAAATCATGCTGCAGCACGCTGGATGTCTCTGGCCGGTGTTACACAAGCCCCACAGCATGCTGTGAGTACTATGCCCTCAGGCTACTACCCCAGGGAGACAAATCTCTCACTACGAAGGCACAGAAATTGCGAAGATGCTACTTTCTGGGATCATAACGTTTTTTCATTTGGGGTCCGGACCGTCGGGGGGGGTTGCATCCAATCTCTCCTTCGTCATCCCTTCTGCATGCGCTTGAAGCTTG